CCAGGTGGTGGTCCAGGCGGAGGACCTAAATTTGCAGGTGGTGGTCCAGGTGGTGGTCCAGGCGGAGGACCTAAATTTGCAAGTGGAGGTCCATAATTTACTTGCGCTGAATATTGCGGCGGTGGTGAATTAGGCGAAAGGTCTTGTTTTTGCTGTTTCTGTTCCAAAAATGGAGATCCCCATGTTGAGCTTGATGACATTTTGATTTTACTTTTTGTTCTTTTAGATTTATCAATATAATTTAAGTTGTTCTTTAAATGTTTTATTTATTATTTCTAATATTTGTTTGTTGTTTAGCTCTATTTTTTTCGCAAATGAATTTCTTTGTTTCGTTAACGATTTTTATTTTCGTTAGTTGTTTGTTGGTTCTTAAGGGAAAATGTCGTGTCGTAAACAACAGAAAGGAAAAAGGTTGATTATTGCTATACATCGTAATTACATGTATTATGTACTATATTTGGCATTTTTGTTTTGTTTCTGTGTTTTATTATAGCAACACATGTATAAGGTCACACAAAGCAAGACACGCAGCATAAAATGAAATTAATAAAAGTTAAAGCCTTCAAAATAATAATCTTATATAATTATTAATGAATTCGTTTAGTAATTACAACTCACCATGTGTAGTCATATCAATAATGAAAAATGAATTGTAAAAATTTTTAAATACCAGTTTTGTTTAATAATTATAGATGTTTCTGAATCAGTTCAATTTATTGAAAAGGGTTTGCCATCTAACTGTTCTGAAACCAAATTCAGTTTATACAAGCTTTGAAGTAATGTTTCAATTTATCAAGATTGTTTATGAAAAATATATATTTCATAATGCAATATAAATTTTATAATTATTATTTTAAAAAATTTCTTTATCTTTTTAATATTATTAATCTAAATATTATTATTATATTGATGAAATAATATTTATATATATTAATTTAAATTATAATTTATATTTATATATTATTATTATTTTTTAAAAATTATTATATAATTATTTATTTAATATTATTATTAACATTACTATTATTAATCATAAAATTATTTATATTATTATTATTAATTTAAATAATATTAATAATATAGCTATTATATATATTAACTTAAAATTAATATTTATTATACTTATTAATTTAAAAATTATTATAATTATTATTAATTTGAAAATTATTAAAATTATTATTAAAATTCTTTAAGTATTTTAATTAAATTAATAATATTATTAAAAATTTATTTATTTTTTATTATTTTTTAAAAATATAATTAGTAATAAAAAAATTTAACTTTTTAATTTATCAAAATTTATTTAAAAAATATTATTAATATTTATTAAAAAAGTTTACTTAAAATTATTTATAAATAATAATAGTATTATTTTTTAATTAATTTTTTAAGTCAAAAAAATTAATTTTAAAAAATAATTATAAAAAATTTCTATATAATTTATTAAGTTAAATTATATTTTTTGTTATTATTTAATAAAAATTTGCTTATAAATTAATAAATAAACTTACTTAAAATAATATATAAAATAGCTTATTAAAATTATTTTTATAATAAGAGATATTATTAAGTTATTTGATTAAATTATATCTTTTTATTCTTAAATATTTAAATAAAAATTTTTTGTTAATTATATAATTTAATTTTTAATTATAGTAATAATAATATTTGTCTTTTTTTACTTATTAAACTTTTTATTTTTAATTATATTATTTATATTAAAAAATTTAAATATAATAATAAAATATATTATTATTATTATTAATTAGTATTACTTCTTATATTAATATTATAAATTAATATAATATTTATATTTATAAAGTTTTAATATTAAAAAATTAAGTTAAATTAAATTTAATAAAAAGTTAAAATAAAATATATAGTTTTTTTAATAAGAAATTTAATATTAAAAAATTATTATAAAATAATTTTGAAATATAATATTATTCTTTTATTAGATTCAAAAGTGAAATTAAATTATATTTTATAATATATTCTTTTATTATATATTATTATTTATTTTAGTTTATAATAATTTTATAATCTTCTAGTTACGTAATATAATATATCCAGATAATTCATACAGAAAAGTTGGGATATATTATTATATCAGGAAAATTCATACAGAAAATCCAAGATATAAGTGATATTATTTGAAATAAAATTCACACAGAAGACTAAATTAAAGCAGACAAGAAATTATATTTAAAACTTATTCTTTATTAGTAATACTTCTTGCTTAAAAATACAGAACAGATACAATATCTTTAAATAATAAATTAATATTACATAAAATTAATAATAAGATAAATAAATTAATAAT